ACTAACCTGATTTCAAAACCTCCAAGAATATTGAAAAGTAATCACACCACTTATCAGAACTCAGACTCGGCACTCAGAAAAACCTTCAAGAATATTGAAAAAAAAGTGACACCACTTTTCAGAGCTTAGACTCTACACTCAGAAATAATGGCGCGTTTATCTGGTATAATCAAAGGGGATCCAGTAGTAGATTTTAAAGATTAGGTATATCACATATATATTCTAAAATGTCAAAATGCTGATAATGTCCCAAAATCTATTCATGTGAGTAGAAAAAAGATAACATACAATTATCTAAATGAAGGCATCAAATCTGATGACGACAGAAATAAAACATTTTCTTCATTTACTGAAAAAGTTAACTGTTATCATTAGTTCTGTCATCATTAGTGGTAAATCATTTGAAACGTTTTCATTAAAGTTAAGAATATGGAAAAACCACTTAACTACTTTCTAGCATTAATTGTGATAGTAATCTTTAAGTACTTGCCAGTGCAATTAATTATCTTAAAGAATCGGGTGACTATAAAAGCAAAAACTGAGGCCATGCATGGTGTCACACACCTTTAATCTCAGCATTTGGGAGGCAGAGGCAGGTGGATCTCTGTGAGAGAGGAGAGGGGAGGGGAGGGGAGAGGAGAGGAGAGGAGAGGAGGGGAGGGGAGGGGAGGGGAGAGGAGAGGAGAGGAGAGGAATATATATGGAAAGTGAAGACAGGAAATCCCCTGAGACTCCCGAGCCAGCCAGCCTGGAGTCCACAGCAGCAAATTAGAAACCCTATCTCACACAACATGGATGGTGAAGACTGACACCCAGGGTTATCTATCTGACTGTGCTGCACTCACACACATGAACATACACACACCCTAGTACACACACACAGGTTGCATACACACAAAAGATACAAAGGTAACCATGACGGAGCTGGAGAGACGGCTCAGTGGTTAGGGGTACTTGTTGTTCTTGCCGGAGGCCTGTTTTTTTTTTACTCTCAGCACCTACATGGTGGCTCACCACCATCTTCAACCGCAGTTCCAGGAGATCCCACATCCTCTCTGAGGGCACTAGACATGCATGGAGTACACAGACACACGTGCAAGCAAGTGGCATTTAAAGGAGTCCACAAAACCCAGGCAAGTGATTAGCTGGTATTTATTAGGGGAGCACTCAAGGGAAGCACTCACACAGTGATGGTGAACAACCGTGGTCCTCAGCCCCTGGAGATGCAGTCGCTGCCCTTCAGGATGCTCCGACCACAGCCCCGGAGAGCCAGCCAGCCCCTCCTCTTCCTTGTAAGGGGTCACGTCCACATGCCTAAAGCCACGCAGGTCCACTGGCGAAACAAGATGCCACTTCAACAGTCCTACACGTAAACTAGAAAGTAGTCATATAACAGAAGGTGGCGTCAAGGCTTCTGCTCAGTAGTTGAGCTCTCGTGTGAGGCCCTGAGTTCACTTCTCAATGTGGCAAGAAAAAAATTGACATTAATAATAGTATTATTTGTGGAGAATACAGTCACCTAGGGAAAAGTATAATCCCACTAAAAACATCACATGGGCCAACGAGATGGCTCAGCTGATGACGTACTTGCGTGCAAGCCTGAGGACCTGAGTTCAGTTCCCAGAGCCCACACACAGGCAGAGAGAAAACCTTTCCACAGACACAGTCTCTGAGCTCCACACATGTATCACACACATAGCATGCACACAAACCACACAATTGCTCATATAAAAAACATGGCCAACTGTAAGAAAATGGATACAAAGAGCCTGCTGCTGTTGATACTGTTTCTTATGGATGAAACTGTAACACGTCTCTATTTCTTCTTCTTCTTTCCCTGATGTTGAAAATATAAAATAACAAATACAGCAGAAATGTGAGAGAGGCTGTTAAATAAGTATGGAATCTTGCAAGGCGTGAAAAACAGAAACAGACTCCGAACTGTGGTCTCAGGCAGGAAGGCTCTGGTCCCCAAACAGTTACTGTGGGGCTGCTAACGGGAAAGGTGCTTGCACTGAGCCTGAGGGTCCCCTGGCCCCCCAGACACACATGGAGAAGGGGACAACCAGCTCCCTACAATGTCCTCTGACCTCCACACATGTGTTATGGCCCCACCCCACAAATATGTAAAAATACTATTTTTGGTTTTGGTTTTTCGAGACAGGGTTTCTCTGTATTGTTTTGGAGACTGTCCTGGAACTCACTCTGTAGACCAGGCTGGTCACGAACTCACAGAGATCCACCTGCCTCTGCCTCCCGAGTGCTGGGGTTAAAGGCGCGCGCCACCGACGCCCGGCAAAATAATACTTTTATTAAGGAGTAAGATAGTACTACATTCCAACAATAGATTTGAAAAAAATTATCAGTAAAATTTGTCTTCAGAATTTCCCAAAACAAAAGAAGGTCATGGGAACAGACACTTGTCTAGAAACAGGTCGGGCTCTCGGCTCCATCCCAGCACCGAGAGGAACAAAACAAGCTAACAGCAGAAAGGCCTGGGCGGATCTAAGCAAACAGAGAAATGTCACACACAGTAAGGTTGACTTCTGATTAGTGGGCTTTATGAAGATTTTTTAATAAAATATTGGGCAGTTGACAAACCACTGAGAAATTCTTATTAAACTATATATTTACTTTTTACCCAATACATATTAGATTTTTGAAATTATAATATAAAAACAAACCACAAAGCTTAAAAAAGGTGGGGAGGAGGATTCTTTTCTAGTCTCAGAATAGGTGAGAGCTTTAAAAAAATTTCTCCTTTTCAAGTTTGGTTGTTTGCATGTATGCATGTACCATGTGTGTGTGTGAGTGTGTGTGAGAGTGTGTGTGTGTGTGAGACAGAGGACAACTTACAGGAGTTGGTTCTCTCCCCCTTCATGCAGGTCCCAAGAATTTCAAACACCCATATGATCCGGGCCATCTTTGGAAGCCCGTTTGCCTGGGTTTTGAGGCAGGGTCTCACCACATAGCCCCAACTTAGTTTAGAACTGGTGAACCTCCTGCCTCAGCCAGCCCAAGTGCTACAATGACACCCACCATACCCAGCTTTGTACTGCTCTCACAGAGGACCTGAGCAAATGTTTAATGTAGCCTAAAAATCGCTTTGTGCATATGTGTGGACACACATGCATATGCATACATTCACACAAATGATATCTGAATGTTCGCGTCCATTCCTGTATGCTCATGAAATTGGAAATGCCAATTTTGAGAATTTCTGGGGTTTTTATTTTATTTGTGTATTTATTTGGGGCTCTGTGCTTGAACCCAGAGTCATATTCATGCTTCTCACTGAGCTACATTCCCAGGCCTTGTTTGATTCATAAGAAGCACAATTTACTTTACTTCGGAAAGAATGAAAACATAGACACATAGCTCTCCACTTCTATCCTGAAGCCTCCGAGTCCATCCAAGGGCCTGCAGAGTGCTGCTGTGGTGCCCACACGGGCCCAATTAGCCACACAGAGGCCTCAGCTGTGTGTCCCCAGGCACTGCTAACCACACTCATCCCTGGACCGCAGCAGAGGCCCTGAAGTCAGACAGGGACCCAGGGGTGACTGAAGGACGCAGCTCCCTAGCATCCATGGTGACATGTTGCCTAGATGGGGAGCCTCAGAGCATGCTCTGGCTGGAGAGGGAACAGTCAGAAGGCCAGAGGAGGAAGGGCAGCCGGAAGCCCCGGCAGTGGGACACTGTCCCCCATGGCTCAGAAGGGATGCTGGGTGGAGGCAGGGATGAGGAAAAGAGGGGAAATCTTTTTGTTGTCTTTAGTGTGCTAGGGACAGGAGATCCCAGAGCTTTAACCACGCCAGGCAAGAACTCCAGGCTGAGGTTACACGTTTGACTCCTAGATTCTGAGGACAGACTAATTGTCCCCGATGTTAGAGCCCACAGGGCTTGTAGTCATTTACTGAAAGTTCTGCTGTGGCTGGACGGTGGTGGCACACGCATTTAATCCCAGCACTTGGGAGGCGGAGGCAGGTGGATCTCTGTGAGTTCGAGGATAGCCTGTTCTATAAAGCAAATTCTTGGCCAGAAAGGGTTATACCAGTGAGAACCTGTCTCAGAACAAGAAATCAATCTATCAATCAATTAAAAATAGTAAGTGATGTGTGGCTTTGGGGAATGTCTGAATTTTAAAAAGACAGAAAATTCTGCTTTGGACCAAGTACTTATGGGTTTTTGCTTATTTAAGTGTATTCATTATAAGGGGGGACCTCAGTCATTGCTAGAATGGAGCCCATTATAAATTTGCATGGGAAATGGTAAATATACAAGATAATACAAAATGGAGGGAAAACCAGAGCCGTTTTGCACACTACACCCAGCAGAAAGCTGAGAGCTGTGTGCCTATTCCCCCTCTCTGGCTTAAAATGGGCACGTTCTGGAAAGCTTAATTTAGTTGTTTTCTATATCTTGTCTATTTATATAATTCAGACTCTTACTATTTCTTTTTTCCCCGTGATGGGAATCGAGCCTGGAGCTTCACACACGCCATGGCAAGGCTAGCTACAGAGGCACAGCCCAGCATTTATTTACTTACTTATGGTTTATTACTTTTCATTTCGAGGCAGGCTCTCACAAAGCTCCTCGGCTAGCCTCGATATCTCTTCTCCCCCACGCCCCACCCCGCCCCGTTCCCACTCCCCCTCTGTCTCTCTCCAGCGAGGACGGGCTTTATGGTCTTCCTGTCTCAGCCTCCCAAGTAGCTGGGATAACAGGCCTGCGGCACCAAGCCCAGACAGGCGCGTGACCCCAGAAGTGCGCTAGCCCAGAAGTAACAGAGGAAGTACACTGCTCAGCTATCCACCTAGAGTGGGCACGGTCTCCTGGCCCATCCACGGTTGATGGGGAGGAAACAGCGGCTGTGAAGGGAGGCATACCTCCCCTCACACGGGTCTGTCCTCAGTTCCCCTGCTCCTTCGCATCAGCCGTTGCTATCAGTGTCCCCTGCAGCCTGAGCTGCTTGGCAATGATCTCGTCTGCCTTGCCCATAGGCCTTCGAGGACATCTACCTGGAGGAGCGGAAGACCATCAAGGTCTTGCTGGAGTACGCCGACAAGATGTTCACCTATGTCTTTGTGTTGGAGATGCTGCTCAAGTGGGTGGCCTACGGCTTCAAGAAGTACTTCACCAACGCCTGGTGCTGGCTGGACTTCCTCATTGTGGATGTGAGTGGGCACGGGGCGGGGACCCAAGAGGCAGGGGCTCATGGCCACGCAGGGGATGGAGAGACAGGGCCAGGCAGAATCACCGTGCGGAAGTTGGGGTGCTCAGCTGTGCTGTGTAGCAGGTGAGGAGAAGGGAGCCAGGCGTGGGAGCCTAGACCTTGGCCAGGGAGGAAGAGCAGCTTGAGGGCAGGGACCTGCCTCAGAGCAGGACCTGCGGGAGACAGTCGAGAGCAGGGATCTGTTCAGGCAGAGTCCTGGGCCAGGAGCAACAGCGGGACATGCTGCCAGGGTGGCCAGAGGGAGGAGCTGAACAACGCCTGTCTGTTGAAGTCCTCCCCACGGGTGGACCACAGCGACTCAGGCCCCCCAGACTGAGGACCGGCAGAGAGCCTCCATGCTCACTCGGATGGTGGGAGGATGTCCAGCTGAGTTGGGTGCAGAAACCACCAGGAGATTGGGATGGACACCGCCTGTGAACAGGAGGAAGGGTGAACTGTGGCTGCATGGACCTTGTCTGCCCAGGGTGTGTCCCGGGATGGCAAGAGCAAGACATGAGCATGTTCCCTGAGGTCTCAGTGGGCAGATGAAGTGGGAAGCCCCTTCCCCAACCTTCCTGGACTCCAGGGCTTTGCAGGATAAGTTTGGGCCAGATGGGTCAAGTTAGGGGGCGACAGAGCTGGGGGGAGGCAATGCTCAGGGTGGGGAGCATCCCTGAATCCACTTTGAGTGAGGGGATAGGATTCAGGAGCCCGGGTATGTGTGAACCCCAGGGATGGAGAATAAATATAGAAAGACCTGGGCCCTTGGTGTCCAGCCTAACCTTTTTCTATCACCCCAAGGGGCCAAGAGAATGCTGAATGTGTGATAATGGACTGGGTGCCTTCTGGCCTCAGGTGATCCCAGGTCTCCAGGTGGTCCCAGGCTCGGATGGTCCTAGGCCTCAGGTGGTCTCAGTCTCAGGTTGTAGGGAGAGACCTAGGCACCTGTGACGCTGACCACACCCATTTTGGACATGGCCACAGGTGGAATAAAGGGCTGAGGAGAGAGGCGCTTGCTCTCTTTTCGGGGTTCCGGTCTGGTCCCCGAGTGTGGCTGAGACTGGATTTCTTGGAACGCCGATCTGGTTATCAGGTTCTCTTGTGAGTGGTGTTCTTTAATAAACTGACCATCGGTATTCATACCCCATGTATGGTTATATTCCTCAACTGCTGGTGTCAGAAGTGGGATCCTAAAGGGGAGCAAGGACTTAGATAGCCCACGAATATTATCAACCGAAGTGAAAAAGAATTAGAATGGGTAGAAAAGAGAAAACTAGAAGCACATGTGGACCGTGTGGATCCAGAACTAGACTGTATTCTGGTTATTGTACCATCTAGAGAACACCCCTCAGGGATTTTGATGCAGAGGGAAGATATATTAGAATGGTTATTTCTGCCACATAAACAGAATTTAAAAACTAAAGACATATATAGAAGAGATCTCTGATTTGATTTCTAAAGGCAAATTAAGGCTTTGTCAACTAACTGGAAGGGACCCAGCAGAAATTATAGTACCTTTAACTAAGGAGGCCCTGGGCTCATGTTCAAGGACTATCATAGGTCTGGAAGTCCCAGCCCACCTAGAGGCAAAGTGACAGCAGACAATAAAGTAAATGGAAATGAGCCCGTCGGGGCTGGCGAGATGATTCAGCGGGTAAAGGCACTTGCTGCCAAGTGTGATGTCCTGAGTTCCATACCCCGAATCTATAGGATTGAAGAACCAACTCCTACAAGTTGTCCTCTGGTCTCTAAACGTGCACGTGCCCGCATGTGCAAGTGCGTGGGCAGACATGTGCAAACACACACACACACTAAGTAGATACAGAAGGTGTTTTTAAATACCAAGCACATTAGCTGGGTGTGAGAGTACGGCCTATAATCCCAGCACTCGGGAGACCAAGGCAGTAGGATCGCTGTGCGTTCCAGGGCAGCCAGGGCTAAAAAAAAAAACAAAAACAAAAACAAAAAAAGGGAAATTTGGTATTGAGGGCGAATTAGCATGGAGAAAAGAAACCAGGGAGGGCCAGGTATTAGGAGTACAGGCACCAAACTCTAGGGCAGAGGGGAAGATGTAAGCTGCAACTCTGCTCAGCCGCACAAACGGCAGTGTAGGGAAGACATGTCCCTGGTCATGGGGTCAGTGGTTGAGACATACATACAGCGAGCTCTCTGAAGAGCCTACAGACAGGACAGTCTTGGCTTGCCACAGGCCTTCAAGGTTCTGGGAAGCACGGCCTCATGGTTCGCTGGCTGGCAGAGAAAGACTGGCGGGCCAGCCTGACGTGAGCTGCGAGCCTGCCACCTGCCTCTGGGGCTGTGCCCCCTTCCCACCACTCCCTTCTCCATAGGTCTCGCTGGTCAGCCTCGTGGCCAACACCTTAGGCTTTGCCGAGATGGGCCCCATCAAGTCCCTGAGGACACTGCGCGCACTGCGACCTCTGAGGGCCTTGTCACGATTTGAGGGCATGAGGGTAAGCGGAGCTTCTACCATCCTAGCAGGTGGAAGAGGGTGAGGGCACACCCCCAGCCTCCTGACCAAGAAAGGCTCTCCCAGCTCTCCCCTTCAGGCGGAACTCGCCGGAGCACGCTCTCGCCGATACCCAGGCCCATCGGCAGCAGGGCCCAGTGCTGCTGCTCTCTTCCGCTGGGGCCTACCTTGTAGGCTGCTCTGCAGGCTGGCAGCCCTCACTTCCTGGCAGGCATGGGCTGCCTTTCCCACATCCTTATGTGATGGTGCAGGGCAGTGCCTCGGGGGCCAAGGGAGGTGTTGTAGAGCAGGCTGTGTTCTGACCTTCAGATGAGGGTTGGCCGGGTGTGATCCTACAGGCATGTGGGGGTGCGCGTTTTACCAAAGGATGTGGGCATATACGGCAGATTTTAATATCTCTTTTAAAAGTGTGTGTGTGTCTGTCTGTCTGTATGTGTGTGTGTGTGTGTGTATCTGTGTGTCTGTCTGTGTGTGTTTACACACACAGTTCTTCATGGCTTCAGAGAACAAATCTGTCATCCCCCTGCCCCGGCAGGTAGCGTCACACTGCTCGTCATTTGGTTGATGGCTTTGAACCTTGCCCGTACCACCAATACATTACACTGCTTAGTCCTGGCAGGAACCCACCCCCAAGGGAGTAATCGGACCAGAGTTAAATGTCTCTTTGGGAGCCGAGGACACTTGATTCCAGAGGGACACAGAGTGATGCTAGGTGCCAGGAATGCCTCTGATGTGGCCGCTGGCTGCAGTGCCAGCCATGGGCAAACTCCCGGGGTTTCTATGGAAAGCTTGGTCCCCAGGGAACCGGGTTTCCCACCTGCTCCAGGGATGTGCTGTCTGCTCCAGAATGTCACCCCTCTCTCGACTTTGGACCCTCTGTGCCTCCGTAGACTCCACCCCAGCTCCACACCCATCCGTGTGGTCCGTAGACTCCACTCCAGCTCCACACCCATCCGTGTGGTCCCTAGACTCCACCCCAGCTCCACACCCATCCGTGTGGTCCGTAGACTCCACCCCAGCTCCACACCCATCCGTGTGGTCCGTAGCTCCCTGCTCATGGGTGGCTGGGACCGTGAGTGGGCCAGAGTTCCCCAAATGCATCTATCAGGAGGCTACCTTCTGGGGGCTCAGGAAGAGCGTATGGAGTCAGACAGCACTCTGCAGACGTAGCAGGGGGTCTCCTGGGAATGCTTCAGGGAGCCATCCTCTCCCAGTCACAGCCTAAGTTGAGCGCAGAGAACATAGGACCAGCAGGACTGACACAGGGCCTAAACCCTTCAGCTGTGTCTGAGCCTGTCCTGCCCACTGGGCTCCCGGCAGCACCAGCCAGCAGAGACCTCACTGTTGGGAGAGCTGAGTTTTGCAGATCATAGCTGAAGTAAAAGAGGGCTGGAAGGGAAAATTCTGGAGTTACCTCAGCGTTTAGGGTGTAGATTAAAAGGCCTCTGGATTCCGTCTCCCCTCCCTTGCCACCGGAGTTCTAGTCGCAGAGTCAGCCCCCTCCACGAGTGGAAGACGCCCCCACTCCCACCCTCACAGCCACCAGTGGCCCACAAGTCTAGCCACTGGGGGGGGGGTCTTGAAAAGAGTACATGCTGTAGGCCACCCCAAGAACTGTGTCCGCTCTCTGTCCACGAGGTGGTGGTCAACGCGCTGGTGGGCGCCATCCCCTCCATCATGAACGTCCTCCTGGTCTGCCTCATCTTCTGGCTCATCTTCAGCATCATGGGCGTGAACCTCTTCGCCGGCAAGTTTGGTAGGTGCATCAACCAGACCGAGGGGGACCTGCCGCTCAACTACACCATCGTGAACAACAAGAGCGAGTGTGAGTCCTTCAATGTGACCGGAGACTTGTACTGGACCAAGGTGAAAGTCAACTTCGACAACGTGGGGGCTGGGTACCTGGCTCTTCTGCAGGTGGTAAGTACGGCAGAGCGCCGGGTGCTTCAGAAACATGCCCCTCACCCTCGTGTGGGCAGGAGCAGGGCAGTGGAGTCGTACTGGGTCCCTGAAGTAGGGTCGCGGGGCCCAAAGAGATTAGAGTTTCCCAGGGACGTGGCTCCTCGGGAAGCCCCCAGAGTCTCAGTCCTAGAGTGAATCTACACTGTCCAGAGTGTTCGGCATGGGCATCAAGCCAGCACTAGACAGGACCAACTCCCCAACTGTCAATCAAATGGACCTCTTTGGGCGGCACAGGCTAGATAGGAAAAGACTGTGGGCTCCCCAGGGACTGAACTGTAAAACTGAGACTGACCACCCTCTGTTGTAACACGGGATGGCTGTTTAAAAGAATGCTTCTGAGATGGGGACAGAACTCACTGAGTGCTGGCCTAACGTGTGCCGGGCCCTGGACTCCTAATCCCACCCCCCCACCCCTGCCCCGTCTTTGATGCGCAGGTTCTCTCCGTTGTCCGCTTACTTTATGAGCAGGGTGGTGTAGAGATTATAACATCTGCCATAAAATCAGCCCAGGGCTGGGGAGATGGCTCGGTTCATAAAGTGCTCACCACGCAAGCGTGAGGATGTGAGTTCAGATCCAGGCTCCCGCATCAAAAGCCAGGCGTGGTGTCCTGTAAACACAGCGGTGGAGGTGGAGACAGGAGGAGCCCTGGGGCTTGCTGGCCAGCCAGTCTAGCAAATCAGCAAGCTCCAAGTCCAGTGAAAGATTGCCTGAGAGGGAGAGGGAGAGGGAGAGAGAGAGGGAGGGAGGGAGGGAGGGAGAGAGAGAGACAGAGAGAGAGAGAGAGAGAGAGAGAGAGAGAGAGAGAGAGAGAGAGAGAGAGAGAGAGAGAGAGAGAAGCGGGGACCACCCAGATCAGTGCCCTCGTCATGTCACGCCTGCAACAGTGTATCCTGTAACACTGTGGCTCTGGAATCTCCTCCCAGAGGTCACACCACAGTGGTAGGAATAGTTACATCAGAGAATTTGGCAAATATGTTAGGGATGTTTCTTTCCTTCCGGAAAACAAGTTGCTAGCTACTTGGCAGAGCAGTGGCAGAAAGGGTGCCGTTGTTACAGGCAGGATGTGGTCCTCTGAACGGCAGCACAGAGCTGACCAGGCCATCCCTACAGTCAACCTCAGAGCAAGGCCACTGTCTGGACCCTGCACTGTATTAGAACCTGACGTGTGTTTTTGAGGACCGGACCTTCTCCTGGCCTGAGAAGCCCAACATGGCCTTCTTGGGGTTTCTGCTCAGCACCTACTCCTCCATCCCCTCCGGGCCCCTCCCGAAGGCCTTTCCCTGGGCCATCAGCCTTCTGGACACTACTGATAGGGTGGGCAGGGGCCTTCTTGTGGGAGGCGGTTTCTAGCCCTCGTTGAGATGAGGGTTCCCTGTAACTGAAGCAGAGCGTCTGTCTGATGACCTTCATGCTCTTCCTCACAGGCAACATTCAAAGGCTGGATGGACATCATGTATGCGGCCGTGGACTCCAGAGGGGTAGGTTGCCACTGGCTTCTCCCAGCAAAAACGGGCACATGAGGGAGGCCTCGTGGCGGGAGGAGCAGGGTGTGTTGGGTCAGCCTCAGGTTCAGCTTTCCCAGGGGTGCTCAGGCCCAGGCCTGCAGCAAGGCCATGTGGTTTTCATGGAGTCCCCAAATCCTCCGTGTTTCACACCCAGCCCGCTGTAGTTTATGCATCCTCACTCAGGAGGGCGGGGTGGGGCAGCAGAGACGTAGATGAGTTTCTCCATGTCCTCGTGCCCCACCCAGTCATACTTTATGATTGAGGGGCAGCTGAGAGAGCGCCCAGTGTAACCCAGTCTCCCGTGGCCTAGGGATTCGGGGTCATTCCTTAGCGTGGCGCGTGGCATGCCGAGTGTCCTTGCCTGCCACCGTCATCTCCACACATCTCCACCTCCACTCTGATCACAGCCACTCAGAGTCACGTACAGCCTGGAATGGTGGCAATCCTGTGGGTGTATGCACACGCACATGCACACGTGCACATACACATGCACACAGTGCATGCACACACATGCACACATGCACACACGTGCACACACATGCACATATACACATGCGCACACATGCACATATGCATACACACGCACATACACACACGCACATACACATATGCATACACACACGCACATACACATATGCACATGCACATACACACACGCACATACACACACACACATGCACATACACATATGCACACGCACATATGCACACGCACATACACACACACGAGGGCCCCCACCGCAGCCCCGCCCTGCCGGTGTGGCCGCCACGTCTGGTGTCTCCCCTGTAGTACGAGGAGCAGCCGCAGTGGGAGCACAACCTCTACATGTACATCTACTTCGTCGTCTTCATCATCTTCGGCTCCTTCTTCACCCTGAACCTGTTCATTGGTGTCATCATCGATAACTTCAACCAGCAGAAGAAAAAGATACGTAGAGTATTGTCTCCGCCTGGGTGGGGAGGCAGGGGAGCATTGGGGGGGCAGGGGAGCACTGGGTGGGGGGCAGGGGAGCACTGGGTGGGGGGCAGGGGAGCATTGGGGGGCAGGGGAGCACTGGGTGGGGGGCAGGGGAGCACTGGGTGGGGGGCAGGGGAGCACTGGGTGGGAGGGCGGGGGAGCACTGGGTGGGGGGCAGGGGAGCATTGGGGGGCAGGGGAGCACTGGGTGGGGGGCGGGAGAGCACTGGGTGGGGGGCAGGGGAGCATTGGGGGGGCAGGGGAGCACTGGGTGGGGGGCAGGGGAGCACTGGGTGGGAGGGCGGGGGAGCACTGGGTGGGGGGCAGGGGAGCATTGGGGGGCAGGGGAGCACTGGGTGGGGGGCGGGAGAGCACTGGGTGGGGGGCAGGGGAGCATTGGGGGGGCAGGGGAGCACTGGGTGGGAGGGCGGGGGAGCACTGGGTGGGGGGCAGGGGAGCATTGGGGGGGCAGGGGAGCACTGGGTGGGAGGGCGGGGGAGCACTGGGTGGGGGGCAGGGGAGCACTGGGTGGGAGGGCGGGGGAGCACTGGGTGGGGGGCAGGGGAGCATTGGGGGCGGGGGAGCACTGGGTGGGGGGCCGGGGAGCACTGGGTGGGGGGCAGGGGAGCACTGGGTGGGAGGGCGGGGGAGCACTGGGTGCCAGAGGCCCCCATCGTGCCTGCTGTCTTAGGAATAATGAGCCTCTTCCTGGTTCTGAGGAAATACGGCAGGGAGGGTGTGGGCATGGAGGTGAGGAGCAGGAGGGACTCTGGTGGTCTGTGCCCTCCCTCATCTAGCTGAGAGAGATTCAGGGGTGAGAATTTGGACTATGAACCTGATCTGTGATCAAGAATCATGGGTGGGGCTGTGCAGAGGCCCAAGGAGACACGGCAGAGAGGCCACGATTAAGAGAGATGCTTAGAAAGATGCCGAGGTCTGTCTGACGAAGCCACGTGAGAGGGTCGAGTAGACACTGGATCTGCAGGCCACAAGATCATGAGGATTTCCCAGGGAACAGGGAGGGACCCTGGGAAGGCAGGCTTGGGGGAAATCTCTCCCAATGCACCTTTGGGACAATATGCTATGAAGTGGTTGTGCCTGACACCTTCACTCAGGAGGCGGGATCCTGAGAACCCCACAGTTATGCTGGTGCTGTCTCCTATACCTAGGGGGCCAGGACATCTTCATGACAGAGGAGCAGAAGAAGTACTACAATGCCATGAAGAAGCTGGGCTCCAAGAAGCCCCAGAAGCCCATCCCACGGCCCCTGGTGAGCGAGGCTCCCTGGCAGTCAGAGAGGGCCTCTTGGTAGTCCTGGGACCCTCCCTCGAAGCCAGCCATCAAGAGCTCTTGAGTCTTCAGCCCTGCTGAGGGGCGCTCTCCTGTTCCCACGCACACAGAGGTCTGAGCCTCACACAGAGAGCAGAGAGGGCGTTGAGGAGACAGTAACACCTAGGCACACTGCACGCTCACAGGAACTCAGCTGTGTCCAGGGAGCCCCTCCTTCCTTTCAGGGGTACAGGCCCTTCCCAGGGAGTATAGTGAGCAACTGAGTCGTGTATAATTCCAGCACTTGGAAGGCAGAGGCAGGAGGATCACTGTGAGTTCAATACCAGCCAAGACTACATATTGAGACCCTGTCCCAAAAACAAATAATATTCAGGGACATTAGATGAGATTAGCTTAAACTCCAGCCAATCGGACAGGCCCAGTGTTTCAGACCTTTCATCTGCCCTGCCTACTCACCTGTCCTCTCCTAGATGAGGGGTGTGTGTGAGTGTGTGTATATGTGTGAGTGTGTGTGTATGTGGGTGAGTGTGTGTAAGTGTGTGGGTGAGTGTGTATATGTGTGAGTGAGTCTGTGTCTATCTGTGAGTGTGTGTATGTGGGTGAGTGTGAGTGTATATGTGTAAGTGTGTGGGTGAGTGTGTATATGTGTGAGTGTGTATGTGAGTGTGTGGGCATGTGTGTGTATGTGAGTGTATATGTAAATGTGTGTATGTAAGTTTGTGAGTGTGTGTATATGTGAGTGTGTGTGTGTGAGTGTGAAGAAACATAGAGTAGCTGGAGAGATGGCTCAAGTGTTTCAGACCATGTACTACTCTTGCAGAGGACCTGAGTTCAGTTCCCAGCACCCACATCAAGCAGCTCAGCACTGCGTGTAACTCCAGTTCCAGGGGTCGAGTAACATTTTCTGTATTCCCCAGACACCCATCTGCATTCACATCCCTACATGCAGGCACACAAATATACACATTTTAAAAATAACATTTTTAAACATATAAAATAATTGTATTCAGCACAATAAATAACATCCATTTCATAGAAAGCATGGAGAAAACATTAATCTGAAGGCATACACAAGTTTAAATTTGACCTTGAACCTTCAGGTTGTAAGACTAAAGAGCAGCACAGTGGATGGTGTGCTGAAACCAAGGGTAAAGGTCGGCCTGTAGATCCATTAGTGGACGCCATCGGGACCAGGCCTCATTGCCTGGAGGGGAGGGGGTGTCAGGCAGGAGGGCCAGCTGGTCTACCTCCATGCTTTCCCAGTCTGTATGTGCCATATGGTTGGGGGTGGGGGTCTGCCGTCTCCCAGAGGGTGGGAGGATGCAAGTTGTCTGGGCTGAGTGGCAGCAGAGTCCCCTAGGTCCCTGCTGCCCTGAGCCCCTCACCTTTTCTTCTAGAACAAGTACCAGGGCTTCATCTTCGACATTGTGACCAAGCAGGCCTTCGACGTCACCATCATGTTCCTCATCTGTTTAAACATGGTGACCATGATGGTGGAGACGGATGACCAGAGCCCTGAGAAGGTCAACATCTTAACCAAGGTCAACCTGCTCTTCGTCGCCATCTTCACAGGCGAGTGTATTGTCAAGATGGCTGCCCTGCGCCACTATTACTTCACCAACAGCTGGAATATCTTCGACTTCGTGGTCGTCATCCTCTCCATCGTGGGTGGGTATGCGAGTCTGCCGGACAGAGACGCCCTGTCCAGGCCGTGTTTCTAACCCCGCCCACTGTTGTCCACCTAATGTGCAGGCTCTCTCGCCCTTTCTCTGCGTCCCTCCCTCCCTCCCACACCCTCTCTCTCTCTCTCTCTCTCTCTCTCTCTCTCTCTCTCTCTCTCTCTCTCTCTCTACACACACACACACACACACACACATCGCTCTGAAAACAACTTGTCAGGAAGGGCCCATTCAAGCCAACGTGGCCAACCTGAAGAGACCCCAGTACCCCATCCTGGCTCTACCCTCCCTGGGACACAGCTCTGTGGCTATTCAGAAAACTTCAAGGTTGAGGCTCGGAAAAGGAATGACCACTGTAGAGACTCTCCTACCCTCCAGACAGAAGCGTACAGCCTAGGTTGAAGGAAGAGGAGGCGAGTCCCTAGGAATCGCCTGAGAGTGTAGAAGACATAAATCATCCCGAGGAATCCTAGTCCAACTTGTGTACTGGGTCCTTGTCAAAACACATCCTCGTGCATTTCACCTGAGGGACAACGTAGGACAAGAGCATGACAGGCAAGGCCCTCCCTATATCTGTTCCGCCCCAGAACCCAAATTCGTATGACAGTTTTATTGAGATGTGATTCATGTACTATAAAACCCACAGAAGGCTAACTTAAAATTCACTTGACAGCGAACATTCTTTGGATCTCACTACCATTAGGCCTTGCTTCACGCCAGGGATATGATCTGAGAAATGTGTCACTAGGCAATTTCGTCATTGTGTGAACATCACAGAGTTTGTCTCACACAGAGGCAGCTACAAGGTCACTGGGCAGTGTGATCCTGGAGGACCGTTGTCACACTGTGGTCCGCCACTGCCTTGATGACTATTATGTGGAACATGACTGATTTTCACCAAACTGGGCAACACGGCCACTGTGTAATGCCAGAAAGCCCCCACAGAGACTCCACCCACTGGTAGCCTCTCTCCATGTCCCCTCTCCCTCAGCCCCTGGCAATCACCAACCTAGAACATTCAAGAATTGTGAAACTGCTCTACATGCTCACCATTGGTGATCAGAGCTCCCATTAATCCACCTACACACACACACACACACACTCACACACACACACACACACAAAACGGGCTTTTTACAATGTTGCAGCCGTCCTGGTGAGAGTACTACCTCGCTGGTGTTTGGGTTTCTAACGCCCTGGTGGCTAATGAAACTGATGTCTTTTCCTATGCTTATGGCTCTTTGTTCATCTTCCATAGAGAATAGCTGTTCAGAACTTTTATTCATGTTAAAAATTAGAGTATTTTATCTTTTTTATTGTTGAGCTGCAAGAGCACTTTATCTCTTCAGGATTCTAGTCCCTTATCAAATACACAAATCAAAAATATCCCCCCCCTTCTCTTTTTGTTTCTCTGTCTTTGTGATGTCTACTGAAACACAGATGTTTTGTTTTAATTTCAATGAAGCCTAATTTTGACCCTATGTATTTTCCTTTGTTGCTGTGCTCAGAGCCCAAATACTTGACCCCACCCCCATCCCCTTGAGTACAGATCTACCTTTGCCTTTCTGCCATAAACGTCATCTACCTCTGGCGAATCTAAAGAGGCTAAGGCGGGCGCTCCTGCTGTGGCAGTGATGGGCAAGCAGTTAGAACATGAAGAAGGCTCAGAAATGCCCCAGACCCCAGGTGGAGGCCAGGATGGCGGTGTGCCCCGTGGGGCCAGAGGGTAGTGTAGGGGACTCAGGCTGTCAGGTAGAGTGGACCACAGAAGCCTTGGCTCTGGAGGCACAGCGTGTACTTCATCACCAGCCGGTGCTGGTGCTGGACTGAGCCAGGGTGTGGCTAAGTAAGAGGTTGCCATGGAGCCAGGGTGACTGGGTCTCATCCTAGCTTCGTCACTTGGGTCGGTTACCTTCTTCTGTTTCCACCCTTCTGGGGTGAAGATGATGCTGGTGGCTCATTTTCCCAGAGTCCTGGGGAGTCTAAAGAAAGGAAGGCTGTAAGGCGCAGAAGCCAGTGTTCCTGACACGTACCAGCTGTCACCGTTACGATGTGGAGCCAGGAGAGGTCCCTTACACTCCCGAGAGGCAAGCTTACCTCACCCTGTCTCCTGTAATGTACCTGTGCCCTTAAAGGAGAGATCCAAAGAGGGAAAGCCCTCGAGCTGAAGGGTGGTAGGAGCCATCACAGACACACTGAGCTCGCTCTGTGTGGACAGCACTGATCCTAGGCAGAGTGTGCGCCCCGAGTATGCGCCTGCCGCGTCTGCATCTGTCAAGAGGAAATGGGCTAGCGGCAGAGCTGAGATTTTACGCCTCCAGTGAGGCTCCAGGAGAGAGAGCCCTAGGTTGCTGGGCCTCAGACCATACTTAGAGTAGTGAAGAGCTGGAAACCGTGAGCTGTAGCTCCTGCAGGACTGCTCCAGTGCTGAGTGAGTGCCCTCTGGCCTCGGAACCCATGTAACAGTGTCCTGGCATGCCTCCATAGTACGGGTGCCTCCTTACAAGCAGAAAAACGGCACTGAGGAGACATTTAGCAAAATACAGGTCTTCATCTCCTAGGTCACAGAGGCAAGAGGAGGCCCAGTCCCAGAATGTCCCATTGACCTGGTCTTCCTGGACGGCCTTCTCCTTCCTATACACACACGCCTGCTCTTAGTGAGCCTGGCCTGGAAGGAAGGTGGAGGTGCCATGGTGGCCACAATCTTGCTTGCTTCCCACAGGCACCGTCCTCTCTGACATCATCCAGAAGTACTTCTTCTCCCCGACGCTCTTCCGGGTCATCCGTCTGGCCAGGATCGGCCGCATCCTCAGGCTCATCCGAGGAGCCAAGGGGATCCGCACCCTGCTCTTCGCCCTCATGATGTCCCTGCCCGCCCTCTTCAACATCGGCCTCCTGCTCTTCCTCGTCATGTTCATCTACGCCATCTTCGGCATGGCCAACTTCGCTTACGTCAAATGGGAGGCAGGCATCGACGACATGTTCAACTTCCAGACCTTTGCCAACAGCATGCTGTGCCTTTTCCAGATCACCACGTCAGCCGGCTGGGACGGCCTCCTCAGCCCCATCCTCAACACGGGGCCCCCGTACTGCGACCCCCACCTGCCCAACAGCAACGGCTCCCGGGGGAACTGCGGGAGCCCGGCCGTGGGCATCCTCTTCTTCACCACCTACATCATCATCTCCTTCCTCATCGTGGTCAACATGTACATCGCCATCATCCTCGAGAACTTCAGCGTGGCCACAGAGGAGAGCACGGAGCCCCTGAGCGAGGACGACTTTGACATGTTCTATGAGATCTGGGAGAAGTTCGACCCGGAGGCCACCCAGTTCATCGAGTATCTGGCCCTGTCCGACTTTGCGGACGCCCTGTCTGAGCCGCTGCGCATTGCCAAGCCCAACCAGATAAGCCTCATCAACATGGACTTGCCCATGGTGAGCGGGGATCGTATCCACTGTATGGACATCCTGTTTGCCTTCACCAAGAGGGTGCTCGGGGAGTCCGGGGAAATGGACGCTCTGAAGATCCAGATGGAGGAGAAGTTCATGGCAGCCAACCCTTCCAAGATCTCTTACGAGCCCATCACCACCACCCTCCGCCGGAAGCACGAGGAGGTGTCAGCCACGGTCATCCAGCGGGCCTTCCGGAGGCACCTGCTGCAGCGGTCGGTGAAGCATGCTTCCTTTCTCTTCCGCCAGCAGGCGGGCAGCGGCCCCTCTGAGGAGGAGGCCCCAGAGCGAGAAGGCCTCATTGCGTACATGCTGGGTGAGAACTTCTCCCGGCGCAGTGGGCCACCCTCCAGCTCCTCTATCTCCTCCACGTCCTTCCCCCCCTCCTATGACAGCGTCACCAGAGCCACCAGTGATAACCTCCCGGTGCGAGCATCTGACTATAGCCGCAGTGAAGATCTTGCAGACTTCCCTCCGTCTCCAGATAGGGACCGAGAATCGATAGTGTGAGTCTGGCTACCCCTGGCCGAGACACACCTTGTTGTATGGTGACAAACCTGAGTGCAGTTAAAACCAGTGTCAGCTGAGGCCTTCCTGGCTTTGGGCTTCGGAGGTGACAGATGAGCCTGATTTGGAGAGACCACAAGGCAGAGCTCTGTGTCTCTGCGTTGGAGCCAGACGCAGCCGGAGGAAACCCTATTGGTAGAGGCCTGTCCCTGGAGGCCTCTGTCCCATCCTAGTAGCCTGTCTGGCCAGGCTCTGAATGGCAACTCGGAGGTGGAATGGAAAACACACTGTACATGTTGTGAACAGGCTTTCATAGATTTATTATATTTGATATTTTTTTACTTGAGCAAAGAACATCTTTTTTTCCATGAACATCTGTAGCAGTTCACACTGCCTCTTCCTAACACTGAACAAGAGAATCCGCAGAGCTGCCAGAACTCTGCTCTCAAAGCTAACGGGATCCAGTGTGGCTTCCTTGGGTCTTCAGGCCCTGGGAAGGAACGCGGTTCCTGTCACGTGGGCTGAGGAGCCAGGAAGGCCTAAGCCCTTCATGTGCACGCACGCACGCACACGCGTGTGCACACTTCACACACTGGGCCCAGAGACAGGCCACAGGGGCCCAGGGGCCCCTCAGGCAAGCGTGGTGAGCTGCTCCAAGGGAGACAGGTTTTCCTTCCTGGCCCCAGAGTGAGAGTCTCCTCCAGTGGCTCCCACTCTACACCCCTGTTGTCCCCGGGATTCCAGTTTCCTTTTTACTCGAGCTTCACCGAGGTCAGTGCTAGGGAAATTAAAAGCTTCCCAACGAGCAGCCTGGGTCTTCGATGGTCTCTGCTCCTTCCCCATCTCCTGTCAGAGTATTAATGTTGGAGCCTCAGGGCATAAGGGGCAGCCCCGCTCACAGCCAGGCACCGAGCCTGCTCCGGGGCTGTGGCAGGCCCTGTCTACCAGCCGAGGGGAGAGAAGGCTGTCCCGCGTGGTCCGCTGAACTGTGCCCAGCCTAGGCAGCTGCACAGCCCACCTGACAAAGGAAGTGGCCTCCGTTTACCAGGCTCCCCTGGGGTCGCTCTGCCTCTGACCATGTGTGAAGAGGGTACCCACTGGGGCTGCAGTTCCTCTCCAGGCACCGCGTAAGTGGGAGGGCAGCCCGGCCCTGCCTGGAGAAAGGCCCCGGATGGTGCCGCCTGGCTCTGTGCCCTGGGAGGGGACAAGCGAATTATCCCATTGGGGAAGGAGGTGGTGAGGCGCCAGGGCTCAGCACAGGGCCTGGAGCTGTCCAGACACAGGACCCCCGAGGACAGGGATTCGGCCATCCCAGGAGTCTTCCAAGAAGGCTTTTTCAGGGACGATGATTTTACTAGTCCAGTTATCCCCGTGACCCCTGCAGCAGTTGACAATCCTGTTTAGCATATGCAAATGTTTTAACGTGGAGAACTGTGGGGGTGACTGGATTGTCTGGTGGAGCCTGAGCAGGCAGGGGCTCGGCTGCCCAAGTCTTGCTCTCCAGCAGAGCCACCCTCTGGCTGGGGGCACCCACCTCACAGGCCACCTCAGTCTCACCTGCCCGTGCGCTGCGCCGCGCCGTGGGCTGGCTGCTCCTACCTACCTCGCCGAGCTGCCGGAGGGCTGGACGCTCCTGGCAGTGCTGAAGGGGGCGCTGCGGGCGAGCCAAGTATTAAGTTCCTTCTGTCACCTCAGTTCCCTTGGTGGCAACCGGCCCCAACCCCACCTGCTCCTGGAGACTTATCCAATGTCCCCATTGAGTCCGTCCTGGGGAGTTTGGTTTTAACTGTCCTGGTGACGCTTCTCTGAGTGGAAATCTTATTTTTGTAGATCTGTGCTTTGCTCTCAAGACTTGGAGAGATGCGTGTCCCTCCCTGACACTCACGTCAGGCTGCACAGGCAGGAATGTGGCCTGGGGCTGGCCGGGCTGCCATCCCAGCTGGCCGGAAGGACGCTGTGGTTTCGAGTGTGCGGATAGCTTGGGAGCCTTAAGACAGGTGCCCGGGGCCGGCTGCAGACAGGATGACCAAGGGCAGGAGCAAGCTAAGCCCCAACTCCTTGGCCCAGCACCGTCTCTCTTTCTAGAACTGCACAGTCACGTGCAGAAGGGGAGAAGAAGGCAGACACAGAGGAGGGAGAGGGGCGGGCGTGTATGTCAGGTGTTGTCTGAAGTGAACGAGCACTTCTCACCAAGCTTCGCATATAAAGGAAATACGTTATTTTTCAAACAAACTAATAAATGGCTTACATGACCTGGCCTGGGCTCTGTTCTTGTGCTGAGGTGTAACATGGGCGCCGAGGAAGGGGCAGGTGGCACAGGCTGCAGGAAGCTGTGAGGGGGAATCGGCCTGAGCAGGTCTGGAGAGTGGCGGCTGTGGGAGAATGTTCTGGGTGCAAGAATAACCTCAGGGCGTCCACGCTGGAGATTGGCCAGGGGCAGGGGTCCAACCAGCACAAGTGGGGGTGCAGACAGGCAGCACGCCCCCCAGGAGAAGAGGGCACCTAGGCCATTCCTTGAGGACCTCCTGCGTGGAGACAGGAAACCGCACTCCCAAAGGGCCTCAGGGTGGGGTCCCTAGCTTCCTGGTCCTCTCCTCCCTTCATCCCTCGGTCCACAATGGCTCCCTGCTGCCATCCTACCCACCACATGCCCATGTGCTCTGCCAGCCTCCAGGACCTCCTTGTGACCAGTCTCAGCGATACCCTCTGTCCTCGGCAGCAAACCCTGCCTCAGTGTGCAGCAGGCAGCCCCAGGAAGTCCTTCTCTCCCCTACCTGGGGACCACCCTCCCCACCCATCCTCCTGCTTCCGTTTCAAGTCTTATTAATGGTGGTAAGACACCCATAGCATTGAACTCACCGCCTTAATTAAGTGCCCGCCCGGTTCAGTGATAGTCAGCATCGTGCCAACATCCGCTGGCCACCTCCGGGACTCTCCATCTTGTAGAAGTGAGCATTTGTGCCCGGCAACCCTGCCCTCCCCCAGCCCCACCCTGCTGTCTCTGTGCCCCTGATGGCTCTAAGGGCCTTCTAATTGGACCCTTGGGATTGGTGGGCTGGTTTTGTCTTTCTTCTACTGCCCTGGCTCCTCCTGGCTCTTTCCATCCCCGAGCCCCTCCAGAAAGAGTGACAAGGCATGGCTTTGAAGATGGACCTGCCCTGAGCCTCTCCACTGAGCCCCGGTCAGTGTGTTCAGCAGCCTCCTCTGGGTATTTCTAGACCTTCCAGCCAGACCACCTAGTGCTGAATTCAACTCCTTTGCCCCAGGCCCATTAATGCCATCTTCAATGCCCACCCTGACACCAACACCCCTCATCCAAGCCTCGGGGTCCACGCCTCCTCGGTGACTCTGAAACCCAACTGCTCAGTTCTAAGTTCCTTGTTAGGTTGGGGGGGGGGTCTGTCCTGCCACTTGGAGACCACCGAGCACTTCCCTTACTAACTTCACCCACCCTACATTAGGGTGATGTTTCAGTCCATGATAACCCTGCGTACCGTTGCTCCGTGGCTTCTGTTGCCTTTGGATCAAGGAAGGCCTCTGGCCCCATTGGCCTCTGTAACCACATCTCTCCAGTCCTCAAGCTCCGGGCTCTTCCTGCCTGCCTCACCAGCTGCTGTCCCTCTACCCAGAACACCCCTCACTCTTCTCGGGTCAGGACTCTCCTCCTCTGGGATCCTTCCCTGACATTCCCCAGCTCCCTACCCAGCACTGGCCCTCATCCTGAAACTCCCTCTCGCAGCTCCCTCTCTACAAATGCCTGCGGAGTGGTGAGCAGACAGGACCCCACCGATCCCAGGGTAACAGAAACGGTCCCATCGCCCCTCACTGCGGCCCAGTGGGAGCCCCCTCCCTGGGCCTGGGTGAGGACAAGCAGCCTACTTTTCTTGTGGCCTTGCCCAGTCCTGGGGCAGAGTGGCTGGTGGCTTCTCCGGGCTTTGTGTACAGTTAGGGACACTTCCGTGGGCTACTAGGGCCGCTGCTGGTCCTTCTCCCTGGCGTTTCCCCAGAGATGCCCTTTTCAGGGTCCCTGGTGGTCCCCGTCCTTTCCTTAGGTACCCGTGGGTCCACCCGGCCCCCTGCCAGGATAATCGAGATCCTCCATGTCTGGCATGCCACCATTCCACAAGAAGCCTCCAGAAGCCTCCTCCCCTCCCCTGGGAAGCCTGAGTGTAGGAGGCAGCACACAGCCGTCTCCCAGGCCTTCCTCGAGCTCAGAGGCCCACAGCTCCCCTTCCTCAGACTCTTCTTACACCCACGACAGACTAAGGGGTCTGAGTGACATTCCCTCATCAGTGATCACCACGTGAAAAACAACCATCTGACTCCGGGCGCTGCTGGTCATGGTCACCCCTTGATCGCCTTCGTCACTGTCTTTCCTCCAACCAACCAGGGCCTTTCAAAGGGTGGTCCACGTCCCAGGTCAGCGGGCCGCAACCTGCTTTTTCGTAAGCATCAGATCCCAGAGCCCCATGACACCCTGTGTGGTGGAGACGTGTGACTTTGCGGTACCCATCTCACATGTGTGGACCGTCAGGGGCATGCCTGTGTGGTCCCTGCCCGAAGATGGCAAACAAATGTCTCATGAAAATTTCCACAGGATAGAATTCTTTAAAAATACCAGAGGGGCTCGAGAGATGGCTGTGTGGTTAGGAGTGATGATTGCTCTTCCCAAGGACCTGAGCTTGATGCCCAGAACCCCCAGGGCAGCTCACAACTGTCACCGTAGTGTAGTTACACCCTGTTCTGAACTCTGTGGGTACCCGGCATGCCTGCGGTTCACAGACACACATGCAGGCAAAGCATCCACAGACATGAAAGAGAAGTAAGAGAGTTCAGGGAAACACCAGGAGTGGGCCCGTGCTCTTCCCCCTCACCGCTGTCTGGAGACCTCCCTCAGAGGCGGCTGTGGAGGACGGCATCCACCATGAAGTGCAGGAGAAGACATACGAGTGTGAGGTTGCTGCCCCCACGGGGCTGCACAGGGCTTGGGTGCTCTCTCCCACGCTCCAGGGACACCAACTACCCCTCAGGCAGATCGGCTTCTCCCGCCATTCTTAAAGTCAGGGTTTCCAGTCTGGAGTTCCTGATCAGCTCCCTGAGGCAAGCCCTCAAGTGTCTGGGAGAGTTGTGACCGGGTCCGGGCTCGAGGCTATGAGAGGAGGCCTGTGCCTACTGAAATGTCACAGCTGTCACCAGGCCAAATGGGGTGAGGCTGGGGTCTGGGTCGTAGATGAGTCTGAGTGGCCATGCCAGCTCCTGTGGCACGGGGAAAGGCATGCAGCTGGGAATCTCAGCCCTTAGCAGGGGAAGAGATGCTCCTGGACAGACAGACTCAGCTCTCGCCCCAGGGCCACAGCGTTGGCAGCCGCCCTGCCCCATGCCCTCAGCCCTCCACCGTCAGCCCTGACAGCCATGAGACTCAGTGTCCTGGAAGCCGGGAGGGGCAGGGGGAATTAGGCCTGGGCCCTCCTAGAGGCAGAGGCCACGATGAGGGCGGTGACCAAGGTCAAGGCAAGGGTGTGACAGATCTTTAGTGGACTCAGGGGAGCCCCCCATCGCCTCCCAACCCTGCCTGCGTATCAGGGTCTGTGCTGCCAGTGCCCTGTGGCCTGCCCGCAGTGCTCCGAGCACACGCCCTGCCTTCACCAGACTAAAGGCTGCGGCAGGCCACAACCTTGACTCCAGCTCCAGCCCTGGTGCCCTTCACAAATGAGGGGCGAGGGTATCTGTAGAATCAGTAGACTGACCAGTCAGTCAACCCACTGTGTGGCCTCACCTGGACCACTCCGCTTTTGTGAGCCCTTCCCCTACCCCACCCCACCCCCCGCAGCACTACCCTCCACTCAGCGTCTTTCTGGAAGAAAGCCAGACACAGGCTTATTTGGGATCTTCACCCGGATGGATTCACCTACATCCAAAGTGCCAGGAATGAGTCTCGGGCTTCCTGTCCCAAACCCACTTAAGGCCACAAGCCTTAGTATCTTCCCAGGGATGGAGGAAGGCAGAAGAGGAAGGCCAGGGAGACTTTGAGTCAACTGGGTGCTGAGGGACTTTGCTCAGAAACGGCAAAGGGTGGCAGCTGCCAGTTCTCTGAGGAGCAGGGTGTCTCACAGGGCCCCCAGGCTACGCAGCTGGCGTCGCTCTTCCTGGGTGTTCCAAGTCCCCTTGAGCAACAGCGGTGAGAGCTGAGCCAGCCTGAGCCCAGCACGAGTAACGGCCACTCCAACAAGCACTTCCTCCCATGCCAGCTCACAGGGCTGGCATCCCCGGCAGCTGCCGGGCACCTGCTGCTGACAAGAAAAGACCCACCATGGAAGCCTCTGTGGAGAGACAGGCCGGCTCGGATTCCTGAGACGCATGTGCGGTCCCAGCAGAAGCCCGGATGTGGGCTGACTGACCAGTGGTATGTCCTGTCCTCCTGTCTGTGCCAACCTGTGCCCAGCTGTATGTGGGACACAGCATAATGTAGGTGTGGGCAGAACAGGGCTAAGTTTGCCTCCAGGATTTGTCTCTCCAGGCCATCTCTCCTCGGAAGCCATCTGTCTGCTACGCTGCCTGTCGGGGGAAGACCCTCTTTATGGACAGCCAGCGCCGGTCCCCGCTACGTGCAGGGCCGTGGAGACTCTGCATGACGGGAGAAGCCAGAAGGGCTCGCCCGAGACAGGAGGCCAGTTCAGCAGAGGTGACTGGGTCTCCTGCATCCTGTACCGATCCATCACATTTATAGCCTTCCCTGCAGACAGGAGACAAGGAAATGACAACGCCCATAAGGCCATAAATAAAGCGTAATGGAATAAGCGGGATGCACAGCCCTTCCCGAGCCCAGAGTCGGGAGCAGGGCTGGCCTGGGCCCCCCTCTGCCTTGACTTCACCCACAGGCCCCAGGGGACAGCTGAACCACTCAGCAGTGTCCACGGGGTGCCCAGCCGGATTTCCAGCTTTCCAGGCCAAAAGCCTTGATGTCATTCTTACCTCCTCTCTTCCCCTCACACCCCATACCCAATCCGGCAGGAAATCCTATTGGCTCTGTCTTCAGAGCACATCTCAAGTCCAGGCGGTTCTCAACACCTCGACACCAACACAGTGCTCTGAGACCTCCTCCCTTCTCGAGATGGCCTCCTAACTGGTCCTTGTTCCCGGTTGTTAGCAGATCTGTCAGTAGGGGGCCAGTGAAGGCTCCACAGCCTGCTCACACCCACGCGCTGCTAGAATTCGCTAGAATCCCCCATCGTGGTCACCCATGACAGGCATG